CAAAGTTGTGCGGTAGGTAACGATGATAAAAATCATAACATGGTATATTGTAGAGCACCCTCCATTGACAAATGCAATTTGCAAGTTCTTACTAACTACATGCATTCAATTTTCTCTCCATACAAAGAAATTTAAAGACTTTTCACAGTGATGCCATGTAAAATGGTAGGTAGCGATAATGAAAATGATGGCAAGCAACGGCAATGAAAAAGGTCAAATTGATTACTGGGAACGCCCTCCATCGACTGATTCTAATTTACAAATTCAAAAATTGTTTCTTTGACATTTACAGTATTTGAGTAAATCTCAAAAACTACCCTAAAATCGGGTAATTTATTTCACTATGTAAAGGAGTCGGCAAAAATACACAATCGCTTCATACATGCTAAAGAGCTCCGAGGTTACCATGTCTGTCAAAATTAAGTTTAAATTTTATACGGTTACTACTCTCAGTGTTGCCAGTAAATCACTCAAATTGTTCCATCTAGAATATATACTTAATCAATCAAGTCAAGTCTCTTACAAAAACAGTAAAACAGTTGCATTAAAAGTTTTTTATTAACACAATGGCCGCTATTAAAGCCGCCATTTTGAATTTTGTAAATTGAACCCCATACGGGTGTAGCACACCTATTAGCACATCCTACGCAGTTTTTTTATTTTCCTAGCGGCTATAATGACTGCGCTAGAGTCCAAAACGTGAATAGTGAGCATTGAACTATTCAATCCGCCGTACCTGCCGGGGTTGCCAGGTGTAGACGATGAAAACAGTCAAATGTGAATTCGGGATGCACCCTCCATCGACGGATGCCAATTTTCAAGTTCTAAAATTGTTCCTTTGACAGTTACAGTTTTTGGGGTAAATCTCCAAAAATACCCTAAAATCGGGTAAATTTTTTCCATGATACGAAAGAGTCTATAGAGATGCACAATCGCTCCATACATGCCAAATACCTGCGGGGTTGCCAAGTCGGTCAAAATCGAGGTTGAATTTTAAACGTTGTTTGCTCTCAGTGTTGCCAGTCGATCGTTCTATTTTTTCCATCGGGTATCTTGAAAAGTTAAAATTCAAATATTTGCATCAAAAAAAATCAAAAATTCGACAAAAATTGTTTCCTCAAAAATCTCATAAAGTATCAAAAACTTTCGAGATTTTTTTTCACCTGACAACACTTTAGTTACTTGCCTAAAAAATGTTTCCCCGGAAGTACTCTGACAAATGTCGGCAAGTGCGTCAAAATCGGCTCGATTTGGTCACGATACCCAATTTTCCGGATAAAACGGCCGCTGGTTTGGCCGCCATCTTGAATTTTGAAAATCCGGCTCCGTACCGGTGTGGCCTACTCGATAGCGCATCCGATGTAGTTTTTACCATTTTCCTAGTGGCAATACTGACCGCGCTAGAGTCGACAAAGTAAAAAATGGGCTAAATTTTTCAAATCGCCGCAACCGCTGGGGTTGCCAGGTGACGACGATGAAAAAGGCCAAATGTAATTTCGGGGAGTACCCTCCTTCGAGGAAAAGCATTTTTAAAATTCTTAAACGGCTCCTTCTACTTTTCACCTTTTTGGGGTAAATCTCCGAAATTACCCTAAAATCGGGGAAAACATTCACGTCATTCGAAAGAGCCAGCGGAGACTCACGACCGGTCGATACAAGGCGAAGAGCTCCGATGTTGCCATGTAGGCTAAAAGTGCGTTTGAATTTTTCGAAAAAGTGAAAAAATCACAAAATGGCCGCTGCCGGCGCCGCCATATTGATTTTGCCGAGTTTCATAATTTTCCCATAGTCACGACTATATCAGGCAAGGGACCTCATTCACAGATTTTCTCCGCTGGCCACCCAGGTTCCCAAACAATTCGGGTTATGAGGGCATGTCGAAAAACACGTTTTCTACCGTGGAGCCCAGGGTTGTCAGCTCGCGGAAACGAAAACTACCAAAAGTCATAGGGCTCCCCCGGCACCACACCGCACCTAGTCTGTTTTCCGCGAAAAGTGCGTATTTCGAAATTTCACTTTTCTCCCAAAATCTCCTAAACTACCACGAAAATGGTAGAAATTATAACCAACTTAAAAAGTTAGCAGCGAGCCCCACGACCACCCCATACGACGCGAACCCGTCCGACGCCGCCATCTTGGAGAAAATCTCACTGGAAAATGGCGATTTTTCATTGGCAAAACAAAATGGCCGCCACCGTCGCCGCCATATTGACTCGCAAGCGAAAACTCCCCGTACGTGAAAATCGATTATAATTCCAAATCGCTGGCGTAAAAATCCCCCCTCCAAACCCACCACAAAAGAAACGACGATTGCCCGAACAGAGGTCGAAAAATGCCAAATTTCCAGGTGAAATATCTCGGCCGCCATTTTGTTTTTTTAATCAAACCTTTTTCCAGTGTCATTTTTTTAGCCCACTCTACGACCATTTTGAATATCGTAATCATAGAGTGTATAATGTAGAAATTAAAAAAATTATCTCGCCGCCATTTTGTTTTTTGGCTGAACCGATATGCCATTTCAACTCATTTTAAAAAAATATTATCAGTCTCCATACATGAAAACGTCATTTTCCCCCTCTTTCTACCCGAAAAAAGCATGGAGTGAGTCAGTGAGTCAGTCAGTCAGTGGTAATTAAGCTTTATATATTATAGACTAGCTTTCGCTTGGTTGCCCCGGGCTGCGAGCAGCCCGGGGAGGTCTCGAGTAGCTGGTGGATCGGTGCGGTGGGGTTTTAAGTCCACCTCCGTTGCAGAATTTGAATTTTTCGATTTTTTTTTTGTTATGTTTGTTTATAGTGTGAAATCGCCTACAAAAAGTTACTAAGTTCTGTCTTCAAATGAAAGGTGTTTAAGCACCATACATCAAAGAAAAAGGGTTGCCAGTTAACGCTTAACAGAAAAAAAAATATTCAGTCGAAAGACGCAAGCAAAACTCTAAATAAATTATAGTCTCTTATTCTTATAAAATATATTTTAAGTATTAAATATAGTGTCAAAAATTGGATTTTCTTTTCTCCATACTTACCTATGTGAAAGTGTGAGTAAAGATACCCACACAAATGGTCCATATATACACGCTATAAAGATCCCGAATTTTCAAGTCCATCGAAATCAAAATTGAAATTAAAATGGTCACGATCATCTTTTAAACATTATAAACCAAATGTTACCATCAACAAAAGCGATTCGTTTCTGGCACTTCGCCGGCCGCTGCCGCGGCACGCTCGCTACGCTCGCTCGGCTCGTGCGTTGTTTGTCATACACTAACCTAACCTAACCCATATGTCATAATAAACCTATACAAGTTTTTGTTGCTTTACTTATTGTAAGGTTCTTGAGCATAAACGAGTCGCTTGTGGGATCGGAGCGGTGGGGTTTTAAGTCCGCCTCTTGTTATGTTTACAGTTTGAAATTGCCTAGAAAAAGTTAGTAAGTTTTATCTTCAAATAAAAGATCTTTAATTACGCAAAACATCATACATAAAAAAAAGATTGCCAGTTTACACGCAATATAAAAAGAAATATTCAGTTGAAAAACGTAAGAAAACTTAAAATAAATGTTGTATACATCGCCTTAAAGTATAAAGTATTCTTATTCAATAGTAAATTTCCTAAAAATCACAGTATCAAAAAAAAAAACAGTTTTTATCATCCTTCAACTGAATACATTTTTTTTTCTGTAAGTAATCTGAAAAATTTTATCAATAACGCCAAAATAATACATTTTCTAGATAAAATGGAAGCTGTCTTAGCCGCCATCTTGAATTTTAAAATTTCAGATTCAGACCTAAATAGCACACTTATAAGTGAATTTGGTCACAGTTCCTAAACCGATTGACCAGGTCTCCATTAATTATGGCTCGCTTCGCTCGCTTTTACTTTTTGTTTTTTCGCAGTTCTAATCTAACCAATTGACCAGGTCTCTATTGATGGTGTCCTTTATGGCTTGCTTCGCTCGCATTTTATTTAAGTCACAGTTCTAACCCTACCAATTAACCAAATATCTCTTAACAGTTACTCCTTATGGCTCGCTTCGCTCGCTTTTTGTTTTATTGACAGTTCTAATCTAACTGATTGATTGGGCCTCTATTGACGGTGTTCTTTAAGGCTCGCTTCGCTCGCATTTTATTTTAGTTACAGTTCTAACCTTACCAATTAACCAAATCTCTCTTAATGGTTACTCTTTATGGCTCGCTTCGCTCGCATTTTGTTTTAGTCACAGTGCTAACATAACCGATTGATCAGGTCTCTTTTAATGATCTCGCATTTTGGCTCGCTTCGCTCGTCTTTTGTTTTATTCACAGTTCTAATCT